TGTCCGGGCGTGCTCCGCCCGCCCCCCCCCTGTTCCCCCCCCCCCCGCCGCCGGGGGGGCTGCCCCCCCGAGCCTCTGTCCTCCCCCTTTTTCCTCCTCCTCCCCAGGATGGGGTCTGCCTTAGGTTTGGCCAACCGGACGCTCAGGACCTGGCCCTTCCACTGCATGCCGTGCACCATCTTCATTGCCTTGTCGCGCTCCTCCTCGTTCTTGAAGGTGACAAACGCAAACTTGTGCTTGTCAAACAGTTTGACCTTGTGCGAGCTGAGGCCGTGTTTGGCCAGGAACTTCTTCAGGTCGTTGAAGCCGATGAACTTGGGCAGGTTCCTGATCTCCACTTTGTAAATCTCCGACGTGAACAGGTCTTCTTTGATGTAGCCGTACGCGCCCGAGTCGGACGCAGCCTCGGCCGTCCCTTCGGCTCTGTCATCGGACATCACGCCGTCGTTGTCGCACACCCGGACGGGCTCGTCGGGACCGCCCCCCTCCTTGGGAGGAACCTTGGGAGGAAGGGTCTCAACCAGAGGTTTGTCACCACCGTCTGCCATCGCTCTGCTGGGAAAGACCGCAATTAAGACCAGCTCTGGTTAGCTTCTGGTTAGCTTCTGGTTAACTAGTATCGATGGTTAAGGTCTTCTGACCTGAAGCCAAATGGAGTTATGTTTTAATAAACGATTACCAACCATCCCTTATGGTCTATTACCATCATTATGGCGCCCCCTTATGAGCTACTTTGGAAACATCGACATCTGTCGGCCAAGTTAAGCACTTTTTTTTTAAATTTTACAACATTACTGATTATCGTACCGACTCTTTGTCATTATTATTAGTCTGTTAACATAACACGAAGTTAATACGGTAATTACGTAATCCAAGTCAAGAAAACTGTTTATAAAATGTATTAAAGCGCACGCAACGCAAAAAGTTACAACCAGCAACTAAATAAACAAAACAAAAAATTATTTAACCATTAAATAGTATATTTTATCTGAAAAAACCGCTGAGGTAACGATTTCGCTGATTCGCTGTTTAAACAGACGTAAACATACAGTATATACACGTCATAAAGACCGCGGTTAAAGCTTCGCCGCAGTTTGTTTATAAACGTGTCAGGTGCTCGTGTAGTGACTAGCGCCATCTGAGGTCAGTAACCGTGCACACTGTTCACACCGTCGACCGATCTTACCTTCTTCTTTAGATTTAATTCAAACCACAGTCTTTTACTGAAACACGCAGGGCGCCACCATGTTGTGTGACCACGTGCCACTTTCAACTTTGAACTCTCTTAAAGTGACAGGCATCATTTTTAGTGAGTGTAAAATCGACCGGAAACAGACCGGAAACAGACCATCAATTAACTGGTCAGAAGAGACGTCACAACGGTTCCTTACGTATTATACGCATTAAAATGATCACGTGATTAGAAAACGCAAATAAAACGTTCACAGGATGGAAGGGAATTTCATTTCACGCACTGTGCTCCGGATATGAAAGGCACGCAGGCGTGAGACGGAAGTGAAGCAGTTGGAGGGAAACGGCGGTCAGTTTGGGATTTGAATCTGTTAGTACTACTTCGAAAATCTGCAAACATCTACAATAATATGGCAGACCCAAAGGTAAGATTCATAATGTTGTGTCGTCTATCCTCTCTTCTTCATTTTAAGATCTAAATTTGGACATAAATAAGCCATTTAACGTGTGGATAATTGTGAAAAAGTCTCACTTTAGCGGCACGCCAAAAGAACCAGTGATGCGGACAATAGTGACGTTACGAAAGGTGGTTTATTAGTATTTTTTAACGCTATGACGCGTGATAAGTATTTATTATATTTTCCACGACTCATTGGGGCCTCCTTTCTGGTTTTGTGTCTTTGGGCATCTCGTCCCGAAGCGTTTTCATAGACGTGTTAGCATTGTTAGCATTAGCTGCCGCGGTCGTTTTGGTGTGTAGTTATACATTATTTAACATAAGTACAACCGCTGTCACGATTTTATTTAAGTGAATGAAAATCATATGTTAGCGGCACGTTATATAGATAACCATGTAAACGGTGAAGCTACAGTCGTGTCTCTTTCTAAACATGTCCGTTTTTAACGTTAGTTAATCAATGCCAGCTGAATTAGCTGGACGCCGGATACACGGAAGTTTACCAGACTGTTAGCCTCACTTAATATTAACAATAGTTTGAGTCTGTTATCTCTTTAATCATCTTCCTAACTGCACTAGTGCATCTTAATTCCAATTTTAGCTATATATTTAATTACAAATAAAGGTTTAGCTTTAGCTTGTGACATGCTAACTACAGGCCCCGCTGAGAGAAACTTCTAGTAGAGTTTTCTCGGCGTTGTAAGACCTCAACAATAGGAATACTAAATAAGATTAAGACAAGTAAATATGAGTATTGAGTGACGGAATCATTTATATTTAAAACTTACAAACAATTTTTGCGTTTATTTCGCGCATAAAACGCGATATGAATTTTAGTTTTTGTATTTCAAATATGTATTGAGTTACGGTAACCCACGTGCGCGGTATTGTTTATCGGTTCTTTTTTTTTTTTTTTGTCCACCAATGGGTGGCTTTTAAAAAAGGACAGAGCTGCTGATGAGCACATGGTCTGGCTTCCATATTCCGTCCTGATCTGAATGTCTGATGGATAACAGCTACAATTCAAGTTTTTTGTTTGTTTGTTTAATCTCTGCTTCTTTTCTCACAACAAGGAAGAACACGACATTCCTGCAGACAGTGCAGAAGAGCCCAACCACGACCCCCAGTTTGAGCCCATAGTATCTCTTCCTGAGCAGGATGTTAAGACACTAGAGGAGGACGAGGAGGAGCTCTTCAAAATGTACGTTCTCTATACATTTTTTTTTTTTAAATTGGCCTGAAATGCCAAATTTGAAAGTTGTTTTTTTTTTTTTTTTTCTTTTTT